ATGACATTCACCTTGTCTTCAAAGTAAAATTTAGGAAGTTGTTGTGCCAATAAATTGTATGGTTCCCATGCGACCTCCAAAGGGGGCATTCCTTTCCATTGGATGAGCACATCAACGCCCCTGATATTTCGACCTGAACCTAGTTGTATCCCCCCAAGAAAGCTTCAGTTCAACCACAATTTCCAATTCTTTCTTGAGTTATGATGCTCGAACTCAGATACAGGTATGTATCCAAGTGTTGAATCTTTTATTTTCTAAAATGTAGGATATGGGGATATTGCTAAAAAAAGTCCAAATTTCAGACACGGGTACGTAGGTACGCATTTCAAACTTCAATTTTTTTTTTACTACTCCAAGATGTCATTTTAAATGGACCAAAATCAATTATTCACAAAGAAAGAAATTGGTACTAAATAAGGGGTGGTAAGACAAATAAAATAGAATTTTGAGATTTAATTTTCAATTATGGGAATTTCTAAATGTTATATAAAATAGAAAATGAGAGATTTGATTGCAATTTAGACTTAGTGAAGCACTACGTAACACTATATGAAACCTATTTTTATTTTATACAAACAAAACCTTACACCACTGATATAGAGAGAGAGAGGGAAAAAATGAAGAAAATGGAGAGGAAAAAGAAAGAAGAAGAAAAAGAAGGGAAAATCTAGCGTCGCCTCCTTTCTTCACCCTCTTGACGACGACACAAGATTTATAGAGAGCAGAAACGGGAAAGAAGAAAAGGGAAAGAAAAGGAAAAGAAAGAAGTAAAAACAACGAAGTGTTCAGTTGAAACTTGGAGGATTCGATACATATCCCATACTCATGTCGTGTTGGACAAGTGTACTCCAACTATTTCAAAGAGTCCGAGCATTAGAGTCCTAAAGTTGTCGTGGAATGCTTGTCGCAATTTGAGAATCTCCTTTGGCGTAATTGGGAAACATGGAGGACGAGATGAATGTTGCAAGTGGATGGCTGGGATTATTTGTAGGCAATTGGATCCATTCAAAATATTTGTCTTCTAAATACTTTGGCAAGCTGAGGTTGGGATCAATAGGGATAAGTTCCACTCGACCAAACCTGCCAAAATATAGTGGTTGTGCTGGTGTTTCTATGGACCTGTTTGTTATTGTTCTTTTTAATACTATACAAAAGGAGGGCAAGCAATTCCAGAGAGAGATTGTCGCCTCCTACCATTATAAGAGTTATAATTATCCCCATGAATGTAAAGATATTTCCTATATGATTTTTCTCTTAGGGCTTTAAGAAAATGTTGGAACATGGCAATTATGAGCAGTTCACATTTTGCCCTGTTTGACACCCATTTTTTTTTCATTTTCATTTTCATTCTCATTTTTTTCTCTTTCTTCATTTCAACCACACATTCTATCAATAAAATAATACTACACATAAAATTAAAAATTTTCATTACTTTTTAACCACACATTCTTCCATCAATCACTATTCTAGAATTTATTTTTTCTCTAAAATGGGTGTCAAACAAGGGCTTTATATCTAACATGATAACACAATACTTTATCATTAGTCATAGTTCCAAGCATCCTAGCCCCCTTAAGCATACAATTTGCTGAATTTGTCGGGGAGAGAAGCAAATGATGATACAATTAATGGAAATATATTCTTTCCTTGTCTTATCACCATATGAAGCATCGGGTTAGTATGGAATATTTTACTTAGGCAAGAAGCAACTGCAACTTGTATAGCAACATGTGCATGCTTTAATAGCTCATCCTAGATCAATATCATTATTAATGGATAGAGATGTGATCATGGAAACAATAGGTGATTAGTCCACTTGTGGGAGTGAATTTTCAATTTGTTCATATAGGCACGAGTTCATTAAGAGACAACGAATGTCGAAGAAACTGTATTCTAGTTTCATTAATTTTTCTCCTAACATTTTATAGGCACGCCACTACATCTTGGGAACTAACATAGGCCCGTTTGGCATAGCCTTTGCTTTTGCCTTCTGTAGAAGAACTTTTGGAAGAACCTGAAATCTATTTTTTAAAAGCACTTCCTATTGTGGAGGTGCTTTTGGAGGAAGCCATATTATACCAGCTTCCTTTACAAGTTCTTCTAACTACTAGAAACACTTTCATAAAATTAGCCAAACGGATCCAAATGCAACTTTTGGATCTCAAAAGTTCATTTTTGGCTTTCCAAAAGCCATGCCAAACGGGCGCTTACTCAAAAGTATTTGTTACATTTTTATTTTTAAATAATAAAACCAAATCGCTTTTTCTCACACGAGTGGAAATCGAGAAAGATAAGATTTCACGGATCCCTTGACGTATGAAAATGGGCCTCCGTGAAGGCTACTTGAGATGACATCTCATTTATGACTAGAATACCTTTTCAGAAGCCTTTTTTTGTTCCTTCTTTTTTCAGGAGACATAGCAACTACCAACTTAAAAGTAGCAAAATCTTTGTTTGTTTCTTTTTTTATTTGTTATTAATTTTAAAATAAGATACCAAGCACTTATATGAAAATTAAGGTTCCAATGAAACAAAATTGATACCTGACCAGAAGTCAACCTGAAGTAGCAACCCAATGTCTGAA